TTGCTTATTTATTTTCCTAATTCAGTCTACCCGGACGTGGGTAAATGTGTTGTTGGTAACTTGACAGTGCCACGGTCTCATATCAATCAAACATCCCTGCGCGTCCAAAAGCGACGCTAGAAGGGTACGTAGAGTGTCTCTTCTCTTCGTAGAGGCCACTGACCAAGCTGCATTTTTTGACGCGTTGGGAATGAGAACATGTGAAAAGTTTTATCTTTCACAATTTAAATGTGGGGTAAGTCATTCTAGGTAATTTGATTCTAGTTTAGACACACTTTTTTCAAATTCAGTAAATAGCTCCTCATAGTCATGAAAAGCATATTATGTAAAAAAAAATAAAAATAAAAGTAGACACAGTAATAAAGCATTGACGTAAAGCATGGCAGACAATAGCGGACTGATTGAATGCATACTTGTGGCATTTTTATGCAGGCAAATAATCACAAGGCAAATACATAAATAGGAACATGGAATAAGTATAACAAAGTGAACAAATAAAGCACCACAGTTAATCAGTCCTGGCTGTCAGCATGGTCTTGAACAGACTAGCTGCACAGAATAAATCTCCATGGTAACTTATTCACTGCTGCTTTCATGAAACTGAATCACTGCTAACTTGAAGCCAAGACTAAATAGAAACAACATAAATACAGGCAACTAGAAGTACAGATATGGTTAAGTGGAGGTATCGGAGTAGAAATTGAGATAAGATGAAATTTCACATTCAAAATCTTTAATAGTAGTGTGAATGTGAATGATTAAGGTAATTGAGGGAAGACAGAGAGAAAAAAGAGAAAGAAATGAGACAAATCAAAGAGGCTGTCCTTGCTTTCTCCAGCAGCCCTCTGGTGTGCTGGCTCTGGGAAACCATCCCATCCTCTCTGCGTGTTAGCTTCGCAGCAGCAACTTATGCAACTTTACTGTATCATTTTTCTCTCTATATGCATACTATAAAATATTATTTGTCATGGTATTGGATTTCTCTCGAATTGCTTACATCACCTTTAACTATGGCTGTGTGAGAAAACACAACTTGTTGATTTTAATTCAGTGAGATTCAAAGTTTTACCCTCATTTAATTATTTGTTTGCTGAAGCCCTCTGTGTTTGTGTGCCGACACACAGAGGTGCAGCCCTTCACTTGGCGGCTGTGGCTCCGAGGCAGAGCGGGTCGTCCACTAATTGGAAGGTTGTTGGTTGTTGTTGGACCGCATGTTGAAGTATCTTTGAGCAAGATACTGAACCCCAAATTGCTCCCGATGCTGTGCGTCGGTGTGTGATGGTGTATGAATGCATTAGTTTCCGTTCAATGGTTTGCCATCACTGTGTGAATGTGTGTAAAGGTCGAATGTGGCATGTAGTGTAAAAGCGCTTTGAGTGGTTGGAAGACTAGAAAAGTGCTATACAAGTACATTGTTACATTGGGTTCTAACTCTATGGCCAGTTCTCTCTTCTAAATTATTTGTTAATTATTAACAAATAACTAAGTAAATACAACTTATGCCATAACGTCACTATATTGACCAACTAAATATGTGCAGGCGTCATTCTGCTGTTAGCTGAGTTAGTATCATGAGCCACTGTGCAGTTGATCAGTGACAGTTTTGCTGTCTGATCAACCTTAATATATTACTCAAACTGGACTTCCTGGATCATATTTTATCATCTTACCAGTTCCTGAAATGACACGTCCTCACCAACACAGCCCCTTGCATTTTTTAAACTGTGCTAATTTCATTCTTAGGGCCTGCTAAAGACTGCAATGCCCTGACAGCCTCCCTGTTTGCCTAGAGACATCTGCTCTCTCTGTCTCTGCATCCATAAGCCTCTGACTAAGGTCCATAATCTCTTTGTCATCCCCCCACCATGGGAGAAGAAACCATGTCAGGTGAAAGCATGCTGCTAGGACTGTGTATCTAACACATGTTCAGTTATTCACATCATCCTGAGAGTCTGCTGCTGAGCAAAGCTTCTTCCTTCAGTGGCTTTAAGGGAGACAATCACAGAATGTTGAATGTGGCTACAGATCACAGCTCCCTGCCTGTATTCATCTTCCCAAATCTAACAAAAAGATAATAATAAGAGATTTAAGTGACAATTGTTTAATTCTGGTGCTTTTATTGTTTGCCTTTATGCTCCTGTCCCACCTAAATGTACACAGTCACGCACCCACTTCAGTGAGTAAATGCATAAAAGTAGCTATTAGCCTACAAATGGCAGAAGGAATTATCTCTCAAACACACTGCTTTCAGTTTGTTTAAAGGACAGAAACCAGAACTGTAGCTTTCACTATGTAAAATAGTGGATTACTGGTGTCACACAAAATGGCATAGGTATCAGAATATTATAATGAGTAATAGCAAGAGTCACCCTACGCTCCCTAGAGCTCAAAGTATTAGTCCATAAATGAATTAAAGCTATAAAATGTAAAATTTCCTTTAAAATGTCACTAGATCTATGTTGTTTAGTTGTGTAATTACATTCCGATTTTCAAACGAAGAGAAATCTGTAATTTTATTCAGGTAACGCTGCGCTTCGCAGACCCTCCGGGACGTCCTTTGTCTACCAAACAGCGCAGGAGAAATGGGTATTTTTAGGGTGGAACTGCATTATTCAGTGTTTTTAGCGGTTTTAATCAGCTGGTCTGTTTGTTTTGGAGAGGAAAATACCTCTGTGGATAATTGGGCTCTCGGTGGAAACCTCCTAAACCATGAACACTGAAGGAATACTAACCGGGAGAAGCTGACTGTAATGATGGCAATGGTGGTAAATACAACAACTCCCACAATCCTCCTATTACTTAATCTTTTGTTATGTAGTTTTGATCTGAGAGACCCCCTAATGGCAGAAATGACATACTGTACGTTTAATGAAAATTGATCTGCAACTATTTCGATAATCAATCACTCATTTCATCAGTTGCTGAAACATCCTTTCTGATAACATGCTGCATCCAACACATTTTTTATCTTCTGAAAATAACCATTAGTGCAGCAATTGTGTGTACAATCAATGTAACATATGAATGTCTTTGAGGAGAGACCAGTGGAGTGCAGCAAGGAGAACAGCAGGCTTTCCACATTCAGAACTGGTAGAAGCACTTACATATGGTTGAAGAACACTTTATACAAACTAGCTAATTTTAACCCTTGAATGGCCATGTCTTTCAAACTCAAGACAAGCCCATGTATAGTCCCAGCTGAAGTAACCCTGATGACATAATGAGGACATTAAATAGTAGTCGGAGTGTTTGCCCCTCCCTCATTAGCCTCATTACCACCACGATTTAATCCATTTTGGATCGATTTCATTTAAATTTTGCAATATCGATTCATAGGGCATGAGATCGATTTTTCCCCATGAAGTTTTTTTTTTTTTCCATGAAGTTAACCCCCGTAGTCTCGTGCCTGATGACAGAGCAGTACGTTTACATCAGGTTGACATTCAAGCGTACAAGCGTGCATACACAAAATGACTGACACAGGTAAACCCCCGCTCAGCAAGCCGTCCCAACTAAAGTCTGACGTCTGGAACCATTTCGGATTTAAAACAACAAAGGACAAAGAGCTGGACAAAACCAAAGTGGTTTGCAAGATCTGCCAAGCA